GGGTTTAAAAATCATGTGTGGCGTGTGTGTGTGTGTGTGTGTGTGTGTGTGTGTGTGTGTGTGTGTGCATCCCCCCAAAATCCCAAGAGGAGAATGGATGACACGGGATTGCAGCATGGCCATCTCCTCTTGGGGTGTGATTTCTCAGCTTCCTTTTCACTGTGTCTCTCTGGTGAGTGCAGGCATCCTATGGCAAAAAAAACTTTTAAAAAATTTCTCGCAGAGAATTTTACCAAAATATATCTTATACTTTTCCAGTAGTAGTATAATTATTTTTTAATTATACCGTATTTCAAAGTAATTTTATATTTTTAGAATAATTGAAAAAATAGTACTGAGTTCCTAAATACCTCTTACCCAGTAAATAATAATTTTTGCAGAGAGCAATCATTAACTTTGTGTTTTATAACATATTAGTAATTGAGTCATTAAAGTTATCTTTATAATCTTGGCATACAGTTAAATTTACCCTTATGAAAGTCTATGAAACAAAATAATTATAACTTTTTACAGGTTGAATCAAATGATCATTCAGACTTAATGTTGGACTCGACCCAGGCTTCATTACCACCTTCCCAAGACATACCAGCAATTTTTAAAGAAGGTTTGGTTTGATACTTTTTAAAACAAATTATAAAGAGAGACATGATGAATGCATATATGGAACTGAATTTTTGTTCATATTAGTTTTTTTATGTATCATAGAATAGAGCTCATCATTCCTAAATACCTTTTTTGGGTGATTTTTATATAAAATCATATTTAATAGTAGAATGTTTTATTTCTCTGAGGTTAACTAGTATTTATTCTTTAAGCTCATTCTCACCTGGAATCAGGTATGAACTGAAAAAAATCTTCACATAATTTCTGTGAGTCAAGGAAGTCCTCTGGTGCCTTAAGTATTCTGTACAAAAAAATTATTAATTATTCAGAAAGCCATTAGCTTGGGAAGAATTCATGCTTATAGTTGATATCTTAATATGCTAGTATCTTTCTATCTAAATATATGATGTAGATTTGATAGTTAAAGATGATTATAGAATTTAATTACAGAACAGCAGAACTAAAGAAATATTGGTTTCTACATCGTATGTACTCAGTAGATTTTTTCCTGAATGAAAAATGAAAATTTCCAGTTGAAGAAATGTTATTGTTGTTTGTTGGTCTATCATTATAAAGTTCCTGAATAACATAAAATGAATTAGTATGCCAATGAAGGAATTTTATCTAGTTGAAAAATGCTCTATAATCAAAACAATTATTATTTCTACTAACTAAATGGAGAGATAAGGTAGTTGTTCTAAGTTGGAGTTTACAAACACCTGGTTATTTTTTTTTGTTTTTTTTGTTTTTTTTTTTTTCATAGAAGTCTGAATTCTTGAAGCTTCTGGAAAGTAAAAGACAGTGACTCATATTCTTTCCAAGTTTTCATACTACAGAGAGTGTAACTTTGTCCTGAATCGTATATAGTAAATAGGGTTATAGTTGCTTAGGAAGATAAAGGGTTAAGCCTCAGCCTTTATCAAGTCCCCTAATCATCTTACTACTCATTTTTTTTTTTTGAGAGGTTTTTACTGTAGGGCACATGTGCTCACCAGACAGATAAGAGAGACAGAGAGACAGAGAGACAGAAAGCAAGAAATCGCCTCCCAGGGGGCATGGCCACGCCGCAGTCCCTTCTCCATTCTCCTCTCGGGATCTTGGGCACACATGCACACGTGCCCGGCGTGAGTTCAAGGCACCGGGTCCAGGACTCAAACCACAGTCTACTACATGGGAGTCCAGTGACATAGCTATTACACCAACTGCTGGTCCCCATTAATTTTCTTAAATTATTAAAATAGATACTTTGATTTTTCTCACACAGTGCATTCATTCTTGAAACCTAAAATAAGCTATTTGGAGATAAAACTTAAATTCTTGCTTTACTTATCTCAGAGCTTTTAAGGCCCAAATATGAGAAGTGAAAAGTAAAATGTACATAGTAAAGCGTTTTTATTTGAGAGGTTTTTTGCTATAGTGTATATGTACTCACCAGAGAGACAGAGACAGAAAGTGAGAAGTCACCTCCTGGAGGGATGGCCATGCTGAAATCCCTTCTCCTCCATTCTCCTCTCAGGATTTTGGATATGCACACACATACACCTAGCATGAGTTTTAAACCACCATGTCCAGGATTTGACCCGCGGTTGGCCATTTGGTAGTCCGGCACCTTAATTACTACATCATCTATTGGCCCCCATAGGAGAGCTTTAAGGGACTTGACAATTAACAGTTGTTGGAGTAATAATTATGAATGATAATATGTGCTATGTATTCAGAAGCATAATAATAAAAGGACTTTTATCTAGGAAGACTGTGGACGGCTCTTAGAAAAGGTTGGATTTTAGCCTGATTTTTTTTTTAATTTGCTGTCACCGTGTGCGTTTGCCAGAGACACAGAGAGAGAGAAAGTAAGAAAACCTCCGTCCCAAGGGGGAATGACTGTGCCATGAACCCTTCTCCATTCTCTCAGGATTTTGGGCATGCACGCACACAGGGTCAGTGTGTTTCTCAAGTCAAAGGGTCTAGGACTGAAACAGCACAGGCAGCCGTGTAGGATCCAGCTGCCTTTACCACCACACCACTGACCGTCCCTGAGCTTGATTTTGAAGAATGAGAATAAACATTTTTTAAGAGGTTTTGCTATAGGGTGGATGCGCTTGCCAGAGAGAGGGAGAGACAGAGACAGAAAGCAAGATGATCTCCCCCGAGGGGAGGGGAGGTGGCCACATCACAGTCCCTTCTTATCCAGTCTCTTCTCAGGATTTTGGGTGTGCACACATGCCCCCAAGCGTTGAGTTTGAAACCGTTGGGTCTGGGACTTGAACTGCATTCGCCCATGTGGGAGTCCAGCAACTCAACCACTATGCCATTTGCTGATCCTGAGAATAGAATTTTTATGCCATTTGCTGATCCTGAGGTTGAAGGTAGGGAATGGCATGAGCCAAAGGCAACAGATAGACGTTTAAGGGTCAGAATTTAAAACTACAGAACTCAGGTTGATTTTATTTAACTTAGACTTCCTCATGCTTAAAAAATTACACATTAAAATAGTATACATTTACTATCTAGTTCATTATATAATTACGTAGTTCAAAATATCAGAACATATTGATTGTTAAAGTAACCTAAGCATCTCAGAAGTATTTTAAAGTGATTACACAAAAATTATTCTCAAGAACCTTCAGTGTAACTTTCAGTAATCATATACTTTGAGGATGGCAAAAGATCACTTCTGTGTCATCTCAAAGGATGAAACAGATTTGAAGAGGCACAGACTAATGTAATTCTCTTATTTTCCTAACATAGATCTACTCTACTGCTTCTATTAGTGTACCATTGGGAGCATTAAAATGTGATGTGAAGCTTTAGAATATTTTTATTTAATTTGCTGGAGGGTGCTTGCAGTTACTGGAGAGAAAGAGGGAAAGTAGAAAGCAACCCACACTGGGATGGCCATACTACAATCCCTTCTCCATTTCTCCTTTTGGAATTTTGGGCACACACTTAGAGGCACCTGGCCCATTTTTCAAGCCATCAGGTCTGTGACTTGAACCACACAGTTAGCCATGTGGGATCCAGCCACTTTAACCACCATTCCACTGGCTGGCCGCAGTTTTCGAATCTTTATCACAAAGAACAGTCATGTGCTATTTTCAAAAGTCAATTTTGCTGAATCTGCTTAGAGCTTGATTAGGCACATTTCTCTTGTGGAAGTCCTGAATTATATGATCCTTCAGCCTTTAAGGTTTTAAACTCATAATGATATGTAGCAAATACAATTCTTATTCAAATAATTTTATGTGAAAGTTTAATTAATAAAAAGTAAAGGGAGAGTTTTTCCATCTGACATTCCCATTATATCCCCTAAGATATACTCGCTGAACATAGGGCTATAGTTTGAAAACCTTATACTTACTCCATATATTTTCATATGAATAAGTTAGGTATTATTGTTCAGGATTTGTTGTTTACATACACACAGCATGAAAAGATAATATAAATCATTGTTTTTCTTTTAGACATCTTAAGGCTTTTTTCCCATCATCTTAAAGAGTTTCTCTACATTTTTAGAATACGTAAAATTTTATACACTCAAATGCCTTTAAGCATCTAAAGATAAATTCATTTGTAGAAACCTAGTTCAGGGGGCCGGCTGATGGTGTGAGAGTTAAGGTGCTAGACTCCCACATGGCCAACCAAAGTATTTTTTCTTGGAATTTTCTTGTCTGCTTTCATGATACCTGTTTATGCATTTTCTTATTTGAAAGCATCTTTATAGAGTTTTCTTGTATAAAGTTTATTTCATGAACTAGTCAAATATATGAAGTTTTAGGAGCTGTTTTGTGAAATTTCTTTCTACTCCTTGATCACATATATTTTCGCTATTCTTTTTCAATTGTTGTATTACCTTTAATGTAGCTCCCAAATATTTTTACTTAATTTTAAATGCAAGTCCGTGTGAGTAGCAGTTTTATGTAAGCAGTATGCTAACATTTAAAGCATTTATAAATATCTTTCCATAATTTACATCTTTGTAGGTATGGGTCGAACTTCATCTGTATCAAAACGTCATTCTACTCCTCAAGTAAATGTAGTTACTCCAAAAAAGCCAAAGGCTGATGAAGATATTTCTGAAGTAGATTCTCCTGCTTCATTGACTTTATTTAGCACTTCTTCACAGTCTTCTGAGGTTATACTATCACAAGGTAAATATGAAATCTGACACATAAGCAAGAAATTGTATGTGTATATATATGTGTGTGTGTCTCTCTCTATATATATATATATATTTATATATATATA